TAAATAAGCTACTTTAGTTTGTGTTTTCATAGGTGATTATTTCTGTGTTAGTTACTTTTCTTTCCTTGTTGAGACAAAATACCTGACACCCAAAGATAAAGGGGAAAGGGTTTATTTGGCTCACAGTTTGTAGAGGTTTCAGTTCATAATCGGCTGACTCTGAGGCAGGGTGACAGAGGGGCAACAGTTCATGGCACCGGCAGGTAGCAAAAGGAACAAGGGACTTTAACAGTGTCTTTCAACTCCTTTTATCTTATTCAGACTACCGGGATTAGGGCAGTGTCAAACCAAGCGCTCATGTGTAGTGGTTTAGTAATCACACGAACTTAATCCTAGCATCACACACTCTAGATTCACCCACCTATGACTGCATGAGGTTTTGGGGAGATATCTAGATCCAAACTATAACAATTACCTATTGTTGGAATAAGACAGTCTTTCAGAATCAATTTTATCCATATATTATATATCTAATACCCATATATTATCTATAACACACAAATAAGTAGATGGGAATGGAAGATATTTTATTATTGCAATGTTACTCAGATCTTTGAAACTCCTTCTAAATTATAGGCCAAAAAGTCATTGTAATTTATTATAAAATTTAAATTCTAATAAATTTAACCTAGCAATTTGATTAGGTCTTCTTTCAATTTTGTTGAAAGCAAAGAATTGGGTCACTGGTCCCCACAAAAGAATTTGTAATTCAGTCATTAACAATTCTTCACTCTCTTTATCCGCAACACAAATATTTTGAATTTTGCTGAGTTTAATGCCCTCAAGGATTTTGCACCCCTCAAAAAAATACAAGTCACTGAAGATTTCAGATGATTAAAATGTATTACATTCTTGTAATAAGTGGGAAAAGGTGATTAGGAAAGGGGAGGTGGCAAAGAAACAAAGGGGGACTCTTAGGCAGATTCATTTTAGTAAATAGTATTTTGTAGAAATTGAAAACCTGGGGAAACAGTCTGTAAAAACTACCTTTACTTCCATCTATCTTGAAGTATTTGTGCCATTTGAAGACCAGTATCTGGACACATTAAGAAGATGCATTACTTAAAAAAAGAAAAGACCTTAGAGAAAATTTAAGAATCCCAAAATTCACCTCAAGCTTCTCAAGATCTTGAGCTCTCTCCAAATGTAGGTACAGACTAATTTGGGACAGCAGAAACAAGGATTAAAAGGAAGGAGGTGACAAAACGGTCATAACAAAGCAAAGGGAGGTATGAGTGATCTTTAAGAGTCAACAATTGTTTGTTATTATGATTTTTGTCAGTACTTCTAGATTTTAGTTAACATAATTTTTATAATCCCCTCAAGTCTTGAACTGGCTGTGAGTCAGAAAGCACTAGAACATTCTCAGGTTTCCCTCATGAAGAATTCAAGAATTCTGTAATTTTTCTTGCACACCAGAGATGAAGGAAGTGAGAATAAAAATCTTAGGAATCTCTCACTCTCTCTCTCTCTCTCTCTCTCTCTCTCTCTCTCTCTATATATATATATATATATATATATACATACATATGTATATCGCTTAATTAGACTAATCTGGTTTTCTGCTGGCAAAACTAACACTAAAATGGTATTGCTCTGAGTTCTCTAATTACAGAGCAATCACACTTTTTCTTAACAGATACTAAAACCAAATGCAATAAGGATGAGGTCATTGTGAATAACTTGATATAAGTCCTATTTTGAGTTATCACATGAATTTCAGTGAATTTTATGCAGTGACAGAAAGCAACAGATTCCAGGTTTACTGTAGAAAAAATTTCTGAATTACTACTATAACTTATCCCTATAGTGAAGAACTTCCACAACTTATTTTCTAAGAAGTATGTTCATTGACTATAATCTCTATTCTTTCACCCTCACTCCTCAATCTTAATATCTGATGTCTCCTCTTGTAGACAGTCTTCTCTTCCATTTTCTTCCCTACACAGTCTGAACACTACAATCAACCTTTTGATGGATACTCACCAGTACTCTCAGCCCCCTTACTCCCTTGAACTTCTGCTTGTCTTTTCTGCCAAGTCCCAGTCCAGAGTCAACCAACCATCTGTTCTCTCAACTATTGCTTTCAGTTTTCCAACTACTGCTGGAAAAAATTGCATAACTTCTGATTCATGACATGACAAATCACCAATTTGCAAACTCACATTGACCCTTAACACTACATGGCAATCCTTCCCCTCTTGCCTGATTGACTTCCTTTGCCATGACTCAGGTCCAATTCCAAATCTCAAGTGATTGCTCTTCTGAGGTTGTCTGCCTTCCCAATCAACAGATGGCCTAACTTTCTACTTCAGAAAAAATTATTGGTCTACTTCCTTCCTTACTACTGCAAATGGTCATCTGCAGCTTCACCCTGCCTTCTCCCTGTACCCAGGACTAATGTTGTGCATCAATTATCCCTTCTCAATACTACTGAGTTTTTAAAAGCTGTTCACCATAATGTCTATGTAGGTTATTATAAGGCAAATATTCTCCCTGGAATTTATATTCCAAGTTGAAGAAATGGACATTGAAATATTAGGAAATAAAAACTGCTGATTAACTACAGAAAAGACCACATAAGATTAGCAAGTGTTCGTCCTCTTTGAATCACTTACGAGCAAGGACAAAAAGGAAGGTGAGTTGGTGTGCTGCCTGCCCATTAAATGTTTTAAAATTCTTTCATAGTTCTGCCTGCCAAATGTCACAACATGAAATTTAAAAAGGCCATGCTTTAGTGATCAATGCCATTTTTGTCCTCTACTGTTTGCTACCACCTGTCACATATGCAGTCTAAGATGCTATTAATAATAATTAGTCCACCCAATACTTCTTTGCAACTTGTGAGGCTTCTGCTCACCTTAATTCAATTTAAATTTTTCATGGATATTCCTAGGGCAACTAATGTGAATTATGGTTGATCTATTATGGCTTTTCCAATTTAAAATGATATTCACTAGGAATCACACAAAACATTCAAGTGACACATGTATGCTTTAGTGATAGTTTTTGTAGACCGTCTGCAAAGAGGCTTTACTGTAGAGGATAGTTAGTGGAGGTATGTATCTATCTAAGGCCAGATCCAGATTTTGTGAGACTTGATTGAATATAATTAGGGGAAGTTTCTCTTTCTAAAAAATATACAAAATTATAAGTACAAAAGGAGGTTAAGAGCCTTTCAAAAAGATCTTGAAAATGAAGGGCTCTGAGTTTACAGTTTCTGAAAACTCAGCTTTTTAAACTCTGACCATTTAATTGGGGCATTGAACAAACTTGAACCAACCAAAATCTCACTAAATATGAATACCAAACATGAATCAGACACCACTGTAATGCTGAACTGATATGTTTGTTGTGAGCATGACAGGAAATATGTAAAGTGACTGGTTTCTCATAATACAAAGGGCTTAAGTTATTCAGGAGAACACACCTAGAATATGGCATAGAAATGCTCCGTCTGTACTTGAAATTGACATGACAGTTCACATTTGAAACTTTCTCTGAAAATTCTGCCTTAAAAGCTTACTTAAAGGACACACACATACACACACACACACACACAGGTGTGCACAAAAATAAATGTGTAACTCTATATTATCTCCCACTTATACAAACATAGATGATACAAATGAAGATGGGATACCTTAGGGTTCAGAAGATGTGTGGTTTGACAAAAAGAAAATGAAGGCAGAATCAGAATCTGGAGGTAAGCCTAGAATTACACCCTTTAGGAAAAGAGTCCAGCTATGGAAGGACATACTCACAGTATGGTACAAAATGCATCTTCTCACTACATGTCCAATATCCTTTTACCATGACATTATGGCATATCACATTTTAAAGATTGGAAAATAATGACAATGGCTCATATATTACATTACTTTATTATATTCATACCCTTTGCCAGTTTGCCTTCTATCATTTTTTAAATGTCTCTTAGAATTATCTCATCCTTCTCCTAACCCCTCCCCCCAAAACCTGGTGCTCTGCCTCTTTATCTTTTCCTCACTCACAAATTCAGTACTTCACACAGTACTTCACGCAGGCATTCTGTAGAGATCTGTTGCCACGGTGTTGATGAGTTATTTCTGATAGGTCACCATTTTCTAACACAATAGGAATTCCATAATGGAGATACACTGAGATTCCATCCTATTCACTCAAAGACTTTAGAAGAATACTCCCAGCAACAGGCTAAAGCTAAAACAAGAATTGATCAGATATAGCTAAGTATTTTTCAGTCGACAATCCACCACTGATGCTACTCAACAAGGCCTGCTGATTTTGTGGGCTAGGACTATTGTGACATCACACTGTAGCTAAAATCAGTCCAACAAAGCAGCAGGAGTTTCAAGAACAGCTGCACAAAAATGATGTCTTAACTGAATAGGCAAAGAAGGCATATATTTTCAAGAAAGCCTCTTTATTCTTGAAGTAGAAGTTGCCCTTCAAGATGACAAGTGGTGCAAACTCTTCAGGATCTTTTGTGCCCTGGAAAAGGTGAGTCTTTAGTGGAAGAAGCCAAATGGCAACTATCCAGGAGAGAAAAATGCCTTTATTAACCCAGGCTAATGGCAGATATTATGGTGTCTCTTTCCACAGAAGCTCTAAAATAGATGACAACTACTTGAAGGAACTGAATGAGGACTTAAAGATAAGGAAGCAGGAACTCCTAGAGATGCTAAAACCTCTAGAAGATAAGAACAGCCTCTTATTCCAGAAGTTAATGTCTAACCTGGAGGAAAAGCAAAAAAGGTAAGGGCTCCCTACTCAAGTATCCTAGAGATTGAAAGACTAGAGAATTTAATCTCCACAGGATTAACAATGATTACTTACATTGTTTTGTTTTGGGTTTTGTTTTTAACTTTGGACATTCAGTTCCAGTAGAATGTAAAGAATTTGTAACACAAAATTAGGGTGAAGATGAATCCTTTACCTTTTTTTTTAGTAATATTAAATATGATTCAGCCCTCATCTCATGACTCTAGAGTTGTTAATTCTTCCCCCTCAGTGCCCACCAAAGAAACAGGTGAAAGTCTTTAATAATTTTGGTCTATTGTAGTCATACTGATAGCTTCTGCCTTCATCTTTGCAGAATCACTTTAGGATAAATGACTCTGCTCTTTCTACACTAATAAGTAGCAGAATGAATTTTTCTAAGCCTAGGAGCTCTCTGGATTTGGGCCCAGCCTCTTGTAATCATACTAGGCTGCTGAGGTCTTAATTGTTTGCTAAAATTCTTACTGCCCTTGGGATCCATCAACTCCCTGTTTCCTTTCTAGTCGCAGAAAAATCTTACCTCAATTGGTTTACCCTCTTTGTATCATAAGCAACTAAAGGAATTAGACTTTTGGAGAATACAAGCCAGGCAACAAGTTGTAGTCTAGCACCAGCTGGTTGTAAAACCAGAAGCAAAGACTTCTCTCAGGGCAAGAGAATACAAAGGCCTGGATTTCTGCTTAGAACTGGAGAGGAAACAGGACAAGAAAGAAAAATATAAATTAATACTTTAATCCCCGGTACAAAAAAAAATAATTAATTAATTAATTAATGCCTATAAAAAAAGTCCTCTTTCACAAAGACTTTATACTATTTCAGATTTTGTTATAAAGTTCTTAATGGTTTGCATGTTATGAGGACTACCAAAGATAAATGTGGTTCCCCTGACAAAATCAAATGTCTGTTTGGAGACTCAAGGAGTAGGAGAAGGTAGACAGAGATAGTATAGGCCATAAATCTAAGATTTCTCCTAAAGCCATCAGATTTTTTTTTTTTTTTTGATACTGGGGATCAAGCTCGGGACCTTGAGCTTGCAAGGCAGATGATGGAACCACTGAGCTAAATCCCCAGCTGACCCCCCCATCAGATTTTTTAACCCCCTCCTTTACAGGGGCAGAATCACTCCTTCCCCAAAAGTCATACATCAAAACATTCTTTGAGGGGGCAGATTTTACTGGCTGTTGGAGACCTAAATTTTGAGCATTAAAAAGCACAGAATTCATTAATAAACATTTAGTGCGACAGATGTCAATTAGGAATGGATTTGTCCAAGTTATAGCAACCTTCTACCTCCAAAGAGACTTCCATACCTGCTGAAATTTCAGCCCCCCTGTAACTTCCATGGTAGAGTACTTTCTGGCTGACTCAGAAAATGTATATTAACATTTAGAAGGTGTTTATGTTTTATGATATCTCTCTTCCTTTAGTCTGCAGATCATGAGGCAGATCATGGCAGGGAAGGAGTGTGATGAATCCTCAGTTGTAGAGCTCATTAAGGAAGCAGAGGAGATGAAACACAACCTGGTAAGAGGTTGGTAGGTACTCCTGAACAGGGCTCAATTCCACTGCTGGTGACAGAAGTACAAGGAAAGACAGACAGCTAATTTATAACATCTGATGCTCCAACATTCCTATTTCTTTGAGAAAGAAAGCCCAGAATGATCCAGAGGGAGTCAGATGGTATGTTGGGAAGAGCAAGAACTAGCAAGCAAAATTCTCTTTCTTTGGCTTTTTAAAAACCTTTTCAACTTGTGGTTAATGACTATAAGCATATTAACACTTCTCACTGTTACAGGCTAGGAGATATCCATCAAAGTAGAAGAAAAAAGTAGTTTGCTCTTAGAGAATCTTAATCTTTTAAAGAATCAACCATGTAAAGGATCCTAAAAATTAGAAAATATTGATCTAAGCCCAGAGATATTGTCATATGATGAGAACATCTTAGAATTTAGAACTCATTTCTATTGATACCATCTCATAATCCTCATATTTATTACTTGCAATAACAACTTTTTTAACCATCATCATCAAACTCATCTCTTGCATCCCTGGATTTTGACTAGGCCCTTCACTACTGCCTTCCTCTGTGGTTTATTATGTCTCAGGACCCCTTTGCCACCATTAACTTAGTAACTCCTTCCAACCTCACTTTAATGCCTGGACAACACATGTCTCTCTTTGTTTGGTCCCCTCCCCCAACAGGAAAGGAAAAACAAGATGTTTTGGAAGGAAATGGAGATGCTATGGAACAAGGTGTGCCTCTAAGGATCTCTTGGAAGTACTGTCCTGCAGATCATAATGCAAAGAACCTGCCATTCCTCCAGCCCCATCCTCATTTTTTCATGTCCTTGCTTCCACTCATGCCTCATTTAAATGCATTCTTTGCACAGCAGGTGACTCAAACAACTGAAGCATGTTACTCTTATGAAAACCCTTTACAGCCCTCCTTGTTGTGGCATAATCTGGCTCATGATCACCTCTCCAGTCTCCTCTCATAGAAGTCCTCCCCTTATTTTCCATGAAACCATCACACTGGCATTCTTGTGAATTCTCAAACATGCCAATCTTTTTCCTATCTCAAGGCCTCTGTTCTTTGTTTGTTTGTTTGTTTGTTTTGTTTTGTTTTGTTTTTTGTTAAATTCTTTTATTGGTACATTGTAGGTATACAACACAATTACATTTCTCATTGGGAATTGTACTTTTACATAATGCATCTTGGTTCTTATTTTTTCCCCATTCCTAGGCCTCCCTTCACCCCCTCCACCCTTCCCTATTTACAAAGACT